TATCAGTGACCAACAATAGTTCGTCGCTGATAAGTTTGGTCGCAAGCTTGCATATTTATACAATTGGATTATTTTGATTATTGAGACTATGAATTTATAATACGGTTTATTTTGTGATTTATGGTATTTTATGGATTTATCGGAGTTTATTTTGATGTTTGGAGTTTATGAATATTTTGGGTTGTAGAATTTATGTTTTTGAGAGATTATTTTCTATACTATGAATAAATATTCGATTCTTTTGGAATATTGAGAATTTGAAAAAAATTGAATTAAGGGAGGGTTTATTATCTTATATATATATATACAGAAATTCTCTTATGCGGACATCCGGATGTTATTATTGTGCGGACGCCGTGTATTTTGTACTACCCCTCTCTATTTTCCTGCCTGTTTACAATAGGATCCGCATAATAATAATGTGCGGACATCCGGATAAGAGAATAACTGCATATATATATATATATATATTGGAAGACTCTGGCTCAGAACTAGAACTAGTTTTACCAAAAGGGTTACTAGATTCTGCTTTGGATTCTAGTAGGGCAACTAGATCTTGCTTCATTTCATAGTTCTCAGTTTGTAACTTTTGGCTTATTTGTTTTAACTCTAAAATTTCTTTTTTAACGTTTTAACTTCTAATTGAAGATCTTGAAGGGTGGCTTGGAAAATAATGAAGATTAGGGGGGAAGAACTTCTTGGCAATTTTTGCTGGATCAACTAACTAGGGCTTATTTATAATATAAGACTTTAGACTTGATAAGCTTATAAAAATAAATAATATAAGACTTTAGAGGAAGACTTATAAGGTTATAAGGTTATAAAATAATATAAGACTTAGACTTAGTTTTTAGTTTCAAGACTTTAGTGAACGTGAGACTTGGGCATTAATGAAGATGATGACTCAAATATTCAATTTGTAGGAAGAAGAAGGCTTTGAAGAAACAGAGCAATTGATAATAAAAACTCAGAATGGAATAATTGCACACTATTAAAATATAAAGATATAAACCAATATAATCGTAATTTAAATAACCTGCATAAGGACCACGCATTAGATAATTCTATGATTAATCATAAAGAATTTAAAAAATAGGCGTATTGGAACAAACTGTATAAATAAAAAACTATGATATAACTAAACTCAAATAAATTAAAAATGCAAATTATTGAAAATAATAATTGGCTCATAAAATAATAAAAAACTATGGGTTTGTGAATTGCACCATCATATGTACCTTCCCTGATTCGATATGGATAACCACACGTGCATTGAGGTATTTTCCGACGTGTGAGATATTGATGACCTGGGCACCCTTGGCAGGGTGTGTCGTAGGCCTTGACCGGCATTCCGCGCCCGTAAGACTTGTTTTAGCTCCACATGTATTGAGGATTCTACCGTGCGTGTTTGGGGAGCAATAGTCCTCCAATTGGACTGCTCATTCCATAGCCACATGAATATTGAGGATTCTACCATGTGGTCTAGTAAAACAATCTCTGTGTTGGATTGTTTTCCCCCGGTACATGATGTGCACTATGATATGTACCTCCATTGTTTTTTATACTTGATATATTACACACGCAGTAACTCTTCGGAGGTGTGTCGAGATACCAAGCACCCTTGACTAGCAATCTTCGCACGTAGGAGGGATCGCATGTGTATTGAGGATTTTACCGTGCGTGTTTGGGGAGCAATAGTCCCCCGATTGGACTGCTCATTCCCTAGCCACATGAGTATTGAGGATTTTGCCTTGTGATCTAGTTAAAACAATCCCCCGATTGGATTGTTTTCCTCTAGTACATAGTGATGGTATGGGGTGTGTATGTGTGTGTGTATATATATATATATACACGTGGGAAAATTTATGGATCAACTAAACTAAGCTCAAGTTTAGAACCATGATTCCCACTGGCATAAATGGTTTAATCATCAACATTGAATTCAATATTTCTTTATTTTTATTTTTATTTTGTTTTTACAAGCGATTGGAGAGGGATTTTACACAAATGTTAATTGGGTGCCTAAGCTTTCCAACCACTACCATGAATTGGAGGATGGTGCATTAAAAATAGTGTGGCACCACATTAAGAAGACACGGGTTATGCAAATTGTTTTAAACATGAAATCATTTAATCCATATGAGTCTAATTTTATTTCATCAGTAAACATAGAATAGAACTGTCGCTTATCTTACGTGGGCTTGACTTTCTTACTTTAGCTATTTTTTATAAATTGTGCTTTCATGCAATCTGTTCAAACTCAAGTAATATTTTTTATAGTAAATTGAGCTTAGACCCATAAAATTCATTTTAAATCACCTACAATCCTTTCCTTTAGTTTTCTATTTAAAATACCCAATTTTTTCAAATAATACCCGATGACTAGGATCCAACTAAGCAAGTTACCTAATATAACTTAAAATCTGATTTATTGTATTTTTCGGATTCCAAACCTACCCCTATTTATAAGTTATTGTGTTATGAGGGGGTGTAACTAATGACACACGTTGAATTTGGAAAGATCTCCAAATAGTTATAATGGATGTAGGAATTAATTTAGAAACTTATTTGAAATTAAATATTAAATTCCATATTAAAGTATTAGTAATCTATTTACGACTAGTAATCTATTTTTGAATTAATGTTGTTTTCCTTTTATGAATTACGACTAGTAATCTATTTAACTTATTAGTAATTTAAATTCAATATTAAATTTAGGAATTAATGTTGTTTTCCTTTTATGAATTATACGACTAGTATTCTATTTTATTATAGTTTTATGAATAATAGTGTACATTCTAATTATGTTGAAAAATAATTTGATAATCTATTTATTATTTGTTTTTTGAAAAACATTTTTTTTAATGAACCTATTTTTTCTAAATGAACTTATTTTTTCTCTCCAAATAATGTACCTATTTTTTTTTTCTCTAATAATGTACCTAGTAAAACAATTTACCTAGTATAATGAACCTATTTTTTTGCTAAATTTTGTATCTATTTTTTTCTCTAAATAATGTACCTATTTTTTTTCTCTAATAATGTATACCTAGTAAAACAATTTACCTAGTATAATGCACTTATTTTTTTCTTCTAAATAATGTACCTATTTTTAATTTATAAAAAAAATGTGCATAAATTTCAATTATACGACATACCTATTTTCTATAAATTATTGTGTACCTATTTTTAATTCCTGAAAAATGTACGGAAATTTCAATTACAAAGTAACTGACCTATTTTTGTTAATTTTTTGGGTAAATAATATACCTATATTTTTATACATATATATTTATATTTATATTTTTCATATGTACATTATTGGATATGTAATTTACATTTTTTTGTTGTTGCAATTTTAGGGGAATGGCAACCAAAAGAAATGGGGTGATTGCTATGCTATTAATAGGGAGTTTTAATTACAATTATGGCAGTTAATGAAATGCTTGGAATAAATTATAAATAAAATATGAAGTCTGATGTCAAGGATGTAAAAACATAGGAATACTATGACCTATTATATCTTAAGTTTGAAATTGGGTTTTACACATAGATTTATAGAATGATGGGTATATGTCTAGGAAATAGAAATTGTAGGGACCTATATCAGACAAGCCCTATTTTTTATTTGAGAAAATATTACCAAAACTTCAATATGCAATTTAAGTAGTAAATAATATGAACTAGCATCCCATACAAATATTCCATATGTTCCAGCAGGGATCGAGTTTCACATCAAATAACCATTCCGTTGCCACCATAACATTCGGAACCTACCACCACACCTGCTGCCATGCAATGAAACAAAAAAAAAAAGCTAAGCAATTACCCCAAGCAAAAAGGCAAAAACACATAATAGTAAAACTCCAAAACAGAGGATGGTGTAAAAAGTTACAACAAAATACATTTTATAGTGAGGTTTACAAAGTCTTCATCATATTCCTACATGCAGGGTTAAATGGAATTAGGTATTAAAAACATCACAAATATATATTATTGTTCTCGTATCAATGTGATTAGATTTCAAGACTTTTACCAATGAAATGAATACAATCACCACTACACCAAATGCTAATTAGTAAAAAGTAGGAAATTAAGACCATTAATTACCCCTTTACTTTTTCTTTTTAAAACTTGGTCGGCAGAACAAAACTAGAGTTGTTTAATTCCTTATCCAAAATGTCCACTCTTGCCGCAGTAGGATATCGGGTTATTGTCTCGGATAGTTGAAACGGGGCATCTAGGTATTTATTTATAACTTTTATGTTCTGATTACATTTGGACCTTTGCGTTTCTGTTTTTATTGAAATCATTTTGTTAGCTTTTTTCAATATATGTGTGTTTCTTTTGTGATTCTTTCAATTGTCTGTTTCTGGGTTGTTGTTCTATTGGTCCTGTTTCTGGGTTGTCGTGGCATCATTTTTCCTATATTCGTTTTGGTGCTTACTCAAATGCATTATTACCTTGTATTGTAACTTATTGTAAATGAAAGGTTACCAAAACTTAAACCAAAGGCATTTTCTAAAAATGGTTGTAGTTGAGATAAGGAATTTCTAGGAAAGATGAAAAATAATCACAAGTACCAAATAGTTTTTGTCCCTTTTCTAAAAATATGCTGGTTATGAAAGAAAAAGTCTTTGGTTTAGGGCGGAGGAAGAGTCTTGATTCTTTTGAACTCCAGAGAGGTCCTCATCATCCCTGCCCATGTAAATCTGTTTCTTTGGAGTGAGGCCACATCTACGATTGGCACGTGTGTAGTGGATATCGATTGTACAATTAACTCAATGGGGGGCTACAATGAAGTTGTAATTTTTTGTTTCTATTGAAGTAGTGGTTTGAAAAGTAGATCTAAAACAAACATAACCTTAGACGGTACACATTATAATGTGATTTGAAAAGTACTTGTTTCAATTACAGACAACAACGTACGTCTTAGTCTATAATGGGACTCCCAAACAATGCACCATAAAATTCATCTTCAGAAAGATACACAACAACAAATATCCCAATAAATCCTTGCGGTCCTAAATGAAGTTGGCTAATCATAGAGTGCAGGATCAGATAACCTAGGAGTTGGGATAGCAACCAAAGGGATCTTCTTTTTCAGCACAATCCCAAACTTCTCTGAAAGATCCAACTTCTGTCCTTGTGGCAATGTCCAGTCAAAAGAGTGCACAAGTGTAGCAAGTGAATGCATCACCATCCTCTCAGCCATTGCAATCCCAGCGCATATCCTTCTGCCAGACCCAAATGGGAAGTAGTTGAAGTCATTTCCACTATAGTCCCATTTGCTGTTCAAGAACCTTTCTGGATCAAACACCAATGGGTTTACTCAAATAGAAGGATCCCTGTGTATTGCCCAGACGTTCACGAAAATCCGAGACCCTTTCGGGATGGTGTAGCCGCCCACAGTGCAGGTTTCACTTGGGCAGTGAGGGACTAGTAGTGGCAGGGGCTGGGTGCAAGCGCAGAGTTTCTTTCATCACAGCTTGTAAGTAGGGTAGATTATGAATATGAGACTCTTCTACAATGTTGTGTTTGCCAACTACAGCTTCTAGTTCTTGCTGGGCTTTTTTCATCACCTCTGGTCTGTGCATAATTTCAGCCAATGCAAACTCAACTGTGTTGGAGGAAGTGTCAGTGCCACCCACCACCATATCCTGCCCATAGTTACATTACAAAGCATCATGTTAATGGACTTAGTTGTTTAACTTGAAACAAGAAAAAAAAGCAATGCTTGAGCTTTTCATGTCACACATTGACAACTGCGTGTTTTTGACATCTCATTGAAACACATCCAGGTTTTGAACTGTTCAGCTGTTAGTTTACCAGTTGCAAGCTTAAGCATTGACCTCTCCATTTATTTGGAGGGAGCTTTAATTAAGGGATCTCTCAAATAAACTTATTTGAGAAACACCTATGTACATTGTATTTAAATAATGCGACCATATATTTTCCAAGTCTTTATTCATAAATAATTTCTTTAAAAAATAACTTGTAAGAAAACAATTAACCATTTGATAAAATGATAGCCATTTTAGTGTTTTTTGGAAACTAATGATATACAAAAAAAGAAAGAAAGAAACGAAAGTGTTCAAGTGAAGTTAAAACAAGTCATACATCTATACTTACCATAAGCAGAGCTTTGACATGGGTCATAGTGAAAGGCGTCTTCGAATCTCCTCCCTCGTCTTTCAACTTCAACAAAAACGTCAAAACATCAATGCTCTTTTTCACACCTTCTTTCTCCATCCGCAGCCGTTGATCAATTACCTTCTCAAATATCCCATCAAACCTCCGAGCCAACCCCGCCATCTGCTTCTCCACGCCTTGCAAATCGAACCGGGCCAAACCCGGGTAAAAGTCCGAAACATTCGGCTTCCTCATAAGCTCCGTCATCTCCGATACAACTTCCCGAAACTCGGCTCCAAGTCCAGCCCTCTCGTCCCCCTCCACCGTCCCACCCCACAACGTGTTGGTGATAACATTGAGCACGTTCAAGAACATCTGCTCGCCGATGTTTACCGCCGACCCGACCCGACTGTAGAAGTACCCGACAGTTTCCCGGAGCTGCTTTCGCCGGAGTTCGTACACCGAGTCCAGAGTGGTGTTGCTGAGCATCTTGAGCACGCAGACTTTTATTGGGAATATTTATGTCACTTTTAATTGTCGCATGCAAAATAGGGTCAAGTTTTATGTAGCTAGGCTTAGGTCGATTGTACTTGGGTGGTACAATATATGTTGTAAAAGTGTACGTGGGTTGAGTGTGATAATAATTAAAGTGGGGAGATTAGGTGTCAGCCTCTTCTCCAGCTTTCAATTTCCATGATAGTCGGATCGATGTCATTTATCGTGCATATTTGCATGAGAGAGAGAGAGAGAGAGAGAGAGAGAGATTTGCAGAAAATGAAATGATCACTAGATAGATAGATGAGATATTAAACCACACAGATGACATGCCAGTGCTTTATTTAGACATACTCTGACTGATGTTTTTCTTCCTCTCCTACACTCTACTAAACCCTAGCTATAGGAGTTGGGATAGAAACCAAAGGGATCTTCTCTTTCAATTGTCTGTTGTTCTGGGTTGTTTTTTCAATATATATTAAAGTATATTTTAAATCTTGGAGTGGTCTTCTTTATTAAAAAACGATAAGTTTTCTTTGTAAAGATTCCCCTTCGTTTATGTGTATGTATGTGCATACATACAGCTCTTGATATTTATCAGAGGTTTAAAGTAGGAAATTGGGGATGAGATTGTTGTTTCCTTGACTTAGTAGTTAAAGTAGGAGTTAAGAACAAAGAATGTAAGCTAAAAAATATACTATGGCAATCAAACAAGTAATTTTTTCAAGTCTTGGCAATCAAACAAGTAGGTTTCACAGAAACGTAGTTTGTTATAGCTAATCTACTCCCCTAGTTTACCGAATGATGTATTGTGTTTTGTCCCTGCCGTATCTTCTTCATTTACATAGAGATTGTGGAATATTAGTTTCATAGTATTTTGTCAGTTTTATTTATTTATTGTTTCATTGTCTTCTTCTGGGTAGAGTTCACCTTGAGGACTACACAAGTGACTACACTGCTCAGGTTCTGTTGGGGTACTGCATGGTTTATATATTTATGCAGACTTTCATGATCCCTGGTACTGTATTCATGTCCTTGTTTGCTGGTTCCCGTTTTGGGGTTTTCAAAGGTGTAGCTTTGGTGGTTTTCAATGCCACTGCTAGTGCATCTTCTTGTTATTTCTTGTCAAAGTTGATAGGGAGGCACATTGTCTTCTCTCTTTGGCCTGACAAGCTGCAGTTTTTCCAAAACCAGGTAAATTCAAATGTCTCCATATCTCTCATTGATACTAACTTCAAAAATAGGAGTGAGTCATTTATTTTTTCTTCCAGGTGGCTAAAAGAAGAGAGGGACTTTTGAACTACATGTTGTTTCTATGATTGACTCCCACCTTGCCAAACACGTCTATTAATCTTGCTTCACCAATAGTGGATGTACCCTGTTATTTTCTTCCTGGCAACCATAATTGGTCTAATACCAGCTGGTTATGTCACTGTCAGGGTATGTGTCTTTCACTTCTATGGAATTTTTGGGTTAAATTATGAAGTTCAATTGTGGTCTCAGAACATCACAAAGAATTATCACAACTCTACTCAAATCCTGAAAGATTCTATGCTCAAATGACCCAAAATAAAAATCACTATGCAAAAACAGATATGATAATTATTTTTTGCATAGAGGAAGATCATTATACCTCAACATTTATTTATTCATTTACAAAGAATTGTTGTTGGAAATAGATTTTTATTTCCTTTTTATTTTTTAATTATATGTATTTTAATAAACTATTGTTCTACACATTTGTCTATTTATTAAGGGTTATTTGTAGCAATGGTCCCTCAACTATACTTGAAGTTACATTTTGGTCACTCAACTCAAATATTAGTTGCAGAGGTCACTAAATTGGTTGTTGTGTTGCTCCATTAGTCCCTACCATCAAGTCTCTCTAACGGTAGAGACTAATGGTGCAACACAACACCTAATTAAGTGACCTCTATAACTATTTTTTGGAGTTGAGTGACCAAAATGTAACTCCGAGTATAATTGAGAGATCAGTGCTACAAATAATCCTAACTGAAAAGTCACATTTGCCCATCAATAATCTAAGAGATGTTTGTCACGTAGGGCTCGTCAATGGGCCAGGCCGGGCTTTAAAGAGGAGAGAGAAAATATCGGGTCGGGCTTTTTTAGAAAATTCAAAGCCCAAGCCCATCTCGTGGGCCGGGCTTGAAAAATCCCATCGGGCCGGGCCGAAATGGGCCTAAAAAATAATAAGTGTAAAAAAAATTTATTTATTTTATAAGGATGGTATGAATAAATATGCAAATGTTTGATGATGTGTTAAAGAAAAGTATGATTATATTTGATGGTATGATTATGTTTGGTGATATGATATGTTGTTCGTCTTATTATATATATAATTATTGTATTAATAAATAACACAAATTAATGTGCTAATCATCCAATTATAAACTAGGAATTAGTATAATTCAATAGAAACACAATTTTTCAAACAAGTAACACACACACACAAAAATGAAAGAGGGGGATTTGTCATTCAAGTGATGTAATCCTAATCCTAAACCCTTATTTATACATAATTATAGATGTATGCGGGCCTAATGGGCTGGGCTTTTGTGGGCGGGCCGGGCCGGGCTTTCATGGGCTTAATCGGGCCGGGTCGAACTTCAAACACCCAAGCCCAAGCCCAAGCGGGCCAGACCCTCTCAAAGCCCATAACGAGCCGGGCCGGGCTTTTTTTCGATGGGTCGAGCGGGCCCCCGTAGGCTGATCGGTTCATAATTGTATATCATTTTGTACCCTTCTAGCTTATGATTTGGTTATGTTTTTGAGTTAAACTTGTGC